TTTCCTGTTGTATAATTAATGGAACTGTTTTAATGATAATAAATGATGATAACAAAAATGAGACTGGGCCCCATCTTGTAAGATCAGATCCATATCCATCCCATATTCAACCATATGAGTGTAGCACTTTGCAGCATTAAGAAAGTTACAGCGGAGGGGGAACACTTCCTTTAACAGGCAGAAACCTTGAGCAGAACCAGACTGATGTTAGACAGTCATCTGCTGAGACTGCATAATGTTTCCAGAGAGGAGAGACGGAGTTTCAGAAAGAGAGAGATGGACAAAGGTTAAAGCAGGCAGGTCCACGGGAGCAAGAAGTCTTCAGCAGCGATCCAGAGGAACCTGTAGCAAGATGGAGCTCAGGGACTCCCAGAAAAGACTGTATTAGGGACTCTAATGGGATAAGATGATTAGAAGTTAATGATACAGACAGGAAGAGAGACAGGAGCTCAATGTGCTAGAACCCCCAGCAGTCTAAACCCACAGCAGCATAACTAAGAGCTGGTCCAGGCCAAACAAGCCCCTCACCGTAGATTTAAAACTCAGTGAATCTCTTTGTCCGACCATGAAGCAGCAGTTTCATGCATTAAAAGTCACTCTTATAAAGGGTAAATCTTATCCCTGATGTGATTGTAAAAAGAGACGACTGTGTTAACTTTAGTATGTTTCATAATTGACAATAAAATAGGGTTTTTGTCTCTTTTTAACGGTCTGAGATAAAGACTAACGCCTCTTCATGTACAAACAAAAGAGAGCCTCCAGAAAGAGGCTGACTTTCTTTAGTGTCGTTTTCAGTGCATGACTTAGGGTCTGCATTAGACAAAGCAATTATCAGAACAAACTGTCGACAGGAGCTGCCTCTGTTTACATTTTATTTTCACAGCATGTGAAAATTTGGCAGGTTAAAAGACTGAGAGAGGATTTTATTCATTATTCCTCTAAAGGTATGAGCCACGATCAGGAGCAGTGAGATGCATAATTTTGTCCTCAGGGCAGGGAAAGGAAGTTTTTCACAGCAGCTTAAAAAAACACAACAACAAAAAGGCTAAATAGTTTCAAAATAGTTGGAAGCACTTTTTTTCAGATGGGGAAATATGTAGCTTTTGTTAGGGACTATTTTGTGTGGCAGTGTTTAGCGTTGTAGGGCTCCATATCACGTACAAAAGGCATCTTTTTTTTTTGGAGCATAATGCAGGTGTTATTGTACATTTCTCATCAACTTTCCTTTGACAGAACCAAAAACAACAATGTGCCAGTCGGTGTTTCAATAAAATTTCCCTCCCTCGGCTCTGGCACTCCGTCCCTGGGCTCATTGAATCTAATCTCCAACAACAGCACAACGTATACATGGGGCTGATTCAAAGGAAGCTGCGTTGGCTGTTTTCATGAAAATGAAGGCGCATGTCATTGAGAGCAACACTATAATATACTGATGTGTCTGTAATAGCCTTTGTGCAACAATGGAGCTCAGCAACACAAAGGAATATGATACAGCAGACTGTCTGCACAGACAGAGGGACCAATTCAGTGTTAGCTTTTGTTCTTTTACTCGGATTTGTTGACAGGAGAAAAAAATGAAGCATATCAGTGGAGCCATCCCCTAAAAACAGAAGTCGGACTACTTTCTGACAGCAACTTTGGGCTGTTTTTAAGAGCCCCCCCTCAGAGCTTCGATGATCTCTCAAGCTTAAAGGAATAAATATACAACCACATGAGAACAACTCCACCAACATTGTCAGAATGCCATCTGCCAGAAAAACGACATTTTCTGCTAGACTAAGACTGCTGTGCTAAACAGACACATGCCAAATACAGAAAAACGTTCAAACCACAGCCTGCTGAGTTCATCCGCACATCCATTTCAATATGCTGGTAATATTAAGATTTATGAATCATGAAAACAGTGTTTGAGTTCCTGTGATTAGAAAGTCTGTAGTCTGTAGAAAGGCGGTTCTGGAAATGGCTGATAGGGAGTAAACACATTTTTTTCTCATTCCCAACTGTCCCTCTCAAACTCTTACGTCTTCATTAAAACTTTTAAATCTTTGAGGGGCAGGGGCGAAAATAAGGAGAGGCACCAGCATGCACAAGGCAGGGATTAATGTCCTGTCTCTGTTAAAGGCTAAAGCAAAGGAAGCTAGCTCAAAAGCATCTGCAGAATAAGCTCTTAAGGCTCATTTAAGCTAAACGTTACATACAGATCCGGATACGGACGGAGCTCTCCTCCAACGCTGCCTCTGTTTCTGTCTCCTATGTAAAATATACATTATCACTAGCTCCTCCACAGCCGCCATGTTTCTTTTTGTTTGTTGTTGTCATAAACTTTTGACTCCGACCTGCCCATCTGGTGGATGTAATAGTTAACATCCATGCCAATATAAAGGATGCATGGAAGTATGTGGGCAGTGACAGAACCATCCTTTGAAACAGACGCGCACATTTTCATATGTAAGGTGAACATAAATGAGCCTTTAGACTTGATTTAAGGACCTGCCACCAACCACAGTCGGCCAAGACCAGCTGTCTTCACTGGGTAAGCAAACTCTGTCTGGAAGGGAAGTGCAGGTCATCTATATGCTGCAGTTGACTAGGTCAAAGATTTAATAATAATAATCATAATAATATGTAAGCAAGAGCAACTTCTTTGACAACTAAACCACATCCCAAAACTCAGAAGACAACAGATGAATCCACATAACATAGTCAGACAAGACTAAAGGACAGAAAAAAGGTTAAATACCTTGAAAGTAGCAGAAACAAAACAAAGAACATAAGTTAAAAGGGGAGAACAAACTGTTTTTTGCTACTACATGCTTAAATACCTACATGTTTAAAATGTTACCAGCCTGCACTTAAAAACAGATTTAAGTTCATTTTAACAGTAGGAAGCAGTTTTACCAGCGTCTTGATTTGGCCCTCGAACCTTGCACCATTACAAATACTAGCTGGACACAAAACCACAAGCTGCATTAGTCATTGGAATTTAGGCAAGAAATAATTATTTTAAACCCATTAAATCACTTAATTTCATCCAATCCCACTTTTGAATTCAATTATTTGCATTTCAAAACAATTTTGGAAATTCCCCCCTATGGGACTAATAAAGGAATATCTTATCTTGTCTCATCTTAAGATCATATTTATAACATAAAGTTGTACGTGCAAACCTGCAGCTGCCTGTTGGACCTCAACGATGCTCACAGGACTGCAGCCAGTTGCAACCTGTTCTTCAGTTTGGTTTTACCCACCGGTCTAAGGCATATACTCCCTAACATGGGCTGTTTTCAAGCTTTTCCGTGAAGCTCCTCTTTGCTGCTCTGATCTCCCTGTTCATTGAGTTTCTGGTCTGCTCATACAGGACCCTATCCACACTTATGTAGGCCATCTCCTTGGCCTGGCGCAGCTTCCACAGCTTAGGTGTAAACCAGGGTTAATTGTTGTATTGGCAGAAAGTCTTTGTCTGCACACCCAGGTCCTCACAAAATTTAAGACGTCACATCTTTTCACAATCCTCAATACAGGCTTAGCAGTTTTTAGGTCAGGGTTGTGATCAGAGTCACTCTCTAAATAAGAGATGCATGATTTCTTCAACACTGTGACATCTGTGCATCCCTGTTAGCATCTACAATGATCATACACCCTAGCGACAGAGATGATGGAGTCACTATAATAGCAGTATAGTAACTATATATAATTATATACAGTAGGGGGGCTGACTGCTCTCTATTGTCCTCATGATTATTCTAGAAAACTGGGACATAATGTGACTCAAGTCGTGTGAAAAAGACATCAAGGGTATCCCAGCTAAATAACTTAATGCTGATGTTGGTATAGTAACAGAGCAAGCCTCTTTGAAAGCAGAGATAAAATGTGCTTATGCTATATAGCTTGCAGGATGTTTGAAGTACAGATGCCTTTCATGCATCTCACATAATATATCACACAAGCTCATATTCAGTTAAGGCCAAAGTGGAGCTTTGACTCTTATCTGGCAGGAACTAGCTGATGGGAACCTTTGAAATGGAAACTTTCAAACCAGGAGGCCAATTAATGAGTGAAAACCGGGGTACCTGAACACCACATGACTCCTCAGATATCCACTCTCACCTTTGATCCCTACCAGCGGAGGATTTATCAGGGTCTTCTTGAAAGTGTCGCTTCAGCTCTGAACACAATCTCAAGGAGAGAAAAAATCCTCTCGTACTCAGTCATCAGCTAGGAAAAGCTGTTACAGAAACCTATCAGATTTGAAATAAGAGAGCTGCCGGTCGTAAATAAAACTGGTTGCATAAGAAAGAGCAAACGAGCAAAATAATGCAACTCGAGTTTGAAAAGAAGAAATAATGAAGTCAGGCAGCTCAGAACACACATGTTCATAAAAGAAAAAAAACCCATTTCTTTTCATTACGAAGCCCATCCAGGCACGTTGACCCTGTGTTTTGTAGACAAGACTTTTGGGATGACTGCTGCTGTGTCCTTGTTTGAGGAATTAAGAGCCAAGGGGCAGCTCAGTTTGACTTGATGTGTTGATGTGATGTGTGATTACTGGCTGTGTAGATTTAGCTTAGAGAAATATTGAAGGAGTTGATTCAAGTCACAGAGACAGATAGTGATGTGCAGTGCAGAGAAAACTTTGAAATCACACCGCATGAAACTCTTCCAAAATGTTCAGGGTGAAATGCAGGTGTGAACACAAATGTCAGAATTTTTATACCAAGACTTTTAATAAATTATAGTTTTAACAAATAAATAAATGACTTTTGACTTCAATCTTTGTGTCATTTAAACTCGGAAAAGTGTTAAGTCTAAAGCACACAGGATCCATGTTGAGCGTCTGTGCATGTCATGCAGCAAATAGGTTGCCATTTTAATCAATGCTGCAAACCCAACAGTTCGCATCGCAGCTCCGTACCAGAAGCGTGTCGAGTGCTGCTCTGCTAAAGATACACACCAAGTCTATTTTCGCTGCTCTACGCTTCCAACACGTGTCAATCTACACAAAGACGATCGTCCTGGACAGGGTGTAAGTACGGAAACCGCGCATATCATCCTGTACATTTTAAAATAAAACACCATATGCAGACTCACGACTGTGTATCAGTTTGTGTAAATGAGAAATACTTCCTGGTTATAGATTTATCAGTAACACAGAACAATCCGACGGTCAATCCCTGATCCATGTGGACCCCAACAGGACTTTTAACTGCTAACTCTGTCTGAAGGTAACGGCACAGCATAAAGGAACATAGTTTACTTTAATAAACATGAGTAAACCTGCAAAACAAAACTTTGAAATCACATTGTTTTATCACATACAGTAGAGGCTCAACAGTCACTGAATTATATCCAAATTAGCAGGAAATTGACCACAAAAAGGCAAAACAACCTGTTTTGAGCATGTTGTTTCCTCTATGCTGAGCCCAGCTGACCGGAGCTGCACGACTCTGCTGCCACGCTCCAAGCACGCATCCTGCGGGCAATGAAGAGCGTTCCACATGGAGCAGAGACGCAACTCTGATGGAACGGGCTCAGCACAGATCCTGTGGGATTTAAGCTTTAGACATCACGCATATGATATTACTAAGGCAGGACGACACGAAAGACAGGTCATGACCAATGGGCTTACGTGAAACATATGGTAGAGTGTCATCAGCATATCGAATCTTGTATTTAACAATAGTCTGACCCAGTGGGAGCAGGTAAATAGAAAATAACAATGGGTCCCCCCTCACAGGTGGGAACCCTGTGGAACCCCACCTGTGAGGGGGCCATCACCAATGTTTAATGCAAATGTGGACATTACTTCAAGAATTGGCTTTGTATGTTAAATGTAAGTGTCTGAAACCTGCATTCTCTCTTATGGCCAGCAGGCAGAGATTTCACAGTATTTTCAAAACTACAGTAATTGTTTATAAACTGATTCAGAAATGAGCGTATTTCTCAGTGATTCATTTATTAACTCTGTATTTGTTGTTATTGTCCTTGGTGTAGTTTAAGAATAATCAGTCTTATTTCTTAGCAGCTTAATCATACCAGCACATTTTATTTGACATAAAACATTTAGCAGATAATCAGCATCTTTCAGCTTTCATCAAAGAGAAGTGGCAGTCATTTTATTAGGACCATAGAGGAGTAAGGGGGCTTTTTCAACAAATACAGGCTGTCTGTTTTATAAAGCTGAAAAACAATTTCCCTTAAATTATACTCATATACTGAAAACATTTTTCAGATTGAACCTGCTTTTTGAGTGTATGATACAATCACTCAGTAGCAGATAACATCAGAGAAAATCTAAAAATTCAAATAAAAAGCAGCTTCCTGTAGGGATTAAAGATGTAGGGATTCATCATTATGCATCATATTTGACCAAAAACTTTTTAAAAGTCTTTTTTTATCCTTGAAAGCAGAGTGAGTCAGAGAATATTATTAACATGTTCTGTAAGTTTAAAACCAGAGTGTCTTTGCACTTCCTCCAAACCAAGCTGTACTTATCAGCAACATTTCATCAGAAAATCCCTTCAAAGAATATCCGGTATGTATCCTGACTACACACACTTGAAAAAAAATGTATAGTGCACCAGTCTGACTGAAACTGGACTTTAAGCTTTAAAGCTTTAAAATGTACTGCTTGTAGCTGCAACATTGGAAAAGCTTCAGTATGCCCTTTTTTACTTATTTTTGTGCTTTTTAATGCCTCTACTTGAGAGGACAGGACAGTGGACAGAGCAGGAAATGAAAAGAGAGAGTGGCATGCAGGAAGAAGCTTTAAACTGGAATCAACTTCTGGATATGAGCCGCATGCTCAGACTTCTATTGGTAAGCGGTGCGAAGTGTAGTACGGCCAAACTTTGTATTCATTTTGTTTTCAATCAAGATAAATTGTGTCGTGCCTCTTAAGTCCCAAACAGGGAATCCTTTCTGTCTCCTGTGCAGAAGTGATGCAAAAAGGTAATATGTCTCTGTTGTTATCAGAGTTAATGGCATGTTGGAGCCAAAAATGACTTTTTACCTTGATTTAATCCAGTGGTTCTCAATCCAGTCCTCGAGCCCTCCCTGTCCTGCATGTTTTGGATGCTTCCCTGCTCCAACACACCTGATTCAAATGATCAGCTCGTTAGTAAGCCATTACGGAGCTGGATAACGAGCTGATCATTTGAATCAGGTGTGTTGGAGCAGGGAAACATCCAAAACATGCAGGACAGGGGGAGCTCGAGGACTGGATTTAGAACCACTGATTTAATCACACATGGCAGAGACAGGGGGCACAAATGCTCACAAAATAATTAATCTTATAAATATATGATAAGCAGGGACTACAGGAACTTTCCTTTGGCCTCAAAAAATGTCACATTCAAAGTCAACGAAAATAAGTTCCGGTACTCCTTGAGTTCTATGAGTGCAGTCAGTATTGGTAAATCATTGGTATTACTCTCTGAATGTCTACAGTGAATAAAGGATTTCAGAAGAATCTCTGTGTCATTTTCCATCAGGGTGTACTGACTAGACACTGTCGTTTTGGAGTGTGGTGCAAATAAGTCTTCAGGCCTTCACTGGAGGGCTCTACTGAAGAGTGACGGAAACAAGCTGCCTCCACTTTAATCACACTATAGAGACAGAACAAGAGTTTACTGTGAATGTGATGACAAATCCAGAGAGGACATTGCAAAAGGAGGGACGTCAATTCAGATCTGTGTTGTCGTCCATCCAGTTGCCATGTCTTTTTCCTTGAAGTCTAACTTTAGGATTAAACACCATGTTCAAACGTTAGTCGTCCGCCTACACTACACCTCATTTAAGTCTCACAACCATAGACTGTATATACTATGGACGACTAAGCTGCACCTTCTGTCATTGGACGGATTTGAAGCCAAAATGCTCTCGATATTTCCAGGATTTTCTCAACTTCCTGGAACCACTGCTTACTCAGTAGCATTATACACACTTTATACAAACAGCGTATCCCCCAGGTGAGCTAAGCAATCTTTGTACACCCATAGGCTGTATCAAGTGTCAATCATAGAAAACATGAACCCCCAAATAACTTTTAAAAATGGAGCTGTACAGAAAAAAGAGGACTTGAGCACAAACCAGTCTTACTGTAACTACATGTCAACATCACAAGCAGGGGGGAGAAAAATTTATATTCTATGTAATTAATTTCTAAAGTTTGTCCACAGCTCCATAGGGATTGCTGGAGGAGGCAAGATTTATAACCTATACTGCAGCCCGTCACCAGAGGGTGCTATTCTCGCAGAGTCCATTCTATATACAGTCTATGCTCACAACACACGGGTATTGGCGTTACCCCCGGCTTCTCTAAACAGCTTGTTTTGAAGACTTTGTGAGACTTGGCCTAAACCTGGTGAAAGGCTTTGCCGTCCTATTAAAATGGAACATACCCCATTATGTTACAGTACAGCTCACTCAAGGGTAAGCCTGCTCAGAACAGTCCAAGTCAGTAAAGACAGAAAGTTGCTCACAGTAGCATTAACATTCAGGTTGTTCCTTTCAGGCTGAAAATGACTGAAATTCAGGTGCTCACAGATGTTAAAGAGTCTGTAAATCATTCATAGCTACTCTTGTGTGTCCTAGACTGACATAATGACAGGTAGAAATAGATATAATAGATCTCCTTTGAGGTAAATTGAAGAGACCAATTATTTCATCAAGCACATCATCAGATTACAAACTGGAATCTATTTAATCTTCAGGTGACTGGCACAGGTGCAGGAATGAGAGCAGAAATATCCCTTTAAGCTCCGAAACACGGTTTTTGCTTCAGTCTGCAGCTTGTTGTGTTTTTTGGAAGTGAAAATTTGCATTCCTCTACATTGTGAAAGCCTTCAAGCACCATCTCTATCACGCATTACAAAAAATTGACCAAACTTGTTTCATCTCCAGCGCTAAAGAGGTGGGTTTGCTTTTTTTCTGTGCTGTGTTAAGAGTCCATCAGTGGCAGGCTGCCTGAATCTCCTTCAGCTGTAGCTCCAGGTGTGCCCACACTGCCAGCTCATTATGGCCACGGCTGTCTGATACACAATTTGGCACCATGGACTGTGCAGAGAGCCTGATTTTGGCTGGTTTTGAAAGGATAAGCTTGTTTTTCCATGCTCATATCTAAACATTCAGTGTTTAGAGAAGCTTCGTGTTTGGTAAGTTTTGTTGTAGTAAGAGACAGAACTTGGCTCTATGTAACATTCAGCTGAAATAGTATTTGGCTAAAGCTTCTAAAGCTGTTTGTGGAGGAAAAACAATTCTTTCTAGTCTTGTTTATTCCTTATTTACTGTTTTTTAAACCTTTGTGAAGGCGTTTCTCTTTGTTCATCAAAGTCATCCTCTACCTGGTCTCAACAGCCCTCAAAACATTGTTTTAAATACATTTACATGTGTTTTTTTTTTGTTACATAGATTATGAGTTCTTTACTGAATGGACCCTTGGTAGAATCTCTCTTCCCAGATTTAGGATTTTAAATGTTGAAACAGAAGTCAGTCTCTGGAAATTGTAGTCTATGATAGGAACCAATGTCAAAGATGGTTTAAAAAGGACCCTCATGGTTCCCACAGACCATTTGAAACATAGACTGTATGATAACTCGACATAGAATCAGAATTGTTTGTTTCTGAAGCAGAATTTTGAGGCCTATTAGCGGCTGTAGCTATATTGGTAATGCTGACTCGACCTGTTTTTTAGATACGGGCCTTTAGCCTCTTTGCAAATGGCTACAGTAGACACACCACCAGAGTTGGGGCTGGTCGTCTTCTCACTGTTCACAAGCATGGACGCTCTGTGGTCGGTCTGTATGGGCTGAAATATATGTCACCAGAAACTCAATTTGAATAATTTATATTTGAATTTGAATTCCTAAACTTGAATAATTGAAAAGAAAATTGAATTTGAGTCACATAATTTAAAGGAATGTGAAGTTTTTACTGCTCCCACTTAGTGTGACTATACTGTAACTATTTCTTTTACTGTTTCTCCTAAATATCTTTCTGTTATGCCCTTCCCCCAGATGAGATATCAGATCCAGAGACATGGGCTAATGCTCAAAATGTTAGATCCAAATTAAACTTTTAACCTCATACAAAAGGATGCTAGTATAAAACGATGAACCCAAGCACTATCGCTTGTTTCCATTGGAGTTCAGTGTATTAAATTGATCTATATAAAAATTACAAATATATTTTATGACATGAGCTAATATTACTTCCTAATGTAAATTACAATAATAACACCACTTTTAGGATACATAAATTAATATCTCTGTGGAAAATAAATCTTCAGTGTTTTTACAAATACTTTATCAACAGGAAACAGCAATTTGTTATACCCTTTCAGAATTATGCAAAAATAGCAGGAAAAAGTAAATTAATCTGCTAGACATGTTAGACATTTTTACAGCTTTTTTTCCAACAGCATTTTTGTTCCAGAAAAATTTGAGTGTTAGTAAAATTAGGATGGTCCCGGGTTGGTGGTTAATTAAAAAAACCTTGCAAAACAATAGTAAAATCCCAATAGCAATTGCAGTTGGACTCAAACAGCGGTATCTGGCGCAACATCAACCCTTGGCAAACAGTAGCACAAGCGATGGAACCTCCCGGCATCTGCCGTGACAACTAGTGGCATCACATGGCAACTTTCAGCATCTACCGTGACTTGCTAATTGCACCTCGCAGCGGCACCCCCGGCATCCGCCGTGGAACCTCCCGGCTAGGTGCCAGTGCCACAGACTGAGTCCTCAGTCCTCTGTATCTGAGCTCGATTGCTCTTCCTTCATCCTTCAAGTACCTGAATGTCTGTCACAGTAAATTGAAACTGAATTTTTCGAACTGAATTAGAATTGTGAGAACTGAATTTGAATATGTATGAGTTGGATTTTCAGCGAGAATAAAATTTTATTGGATTTCAATTTCAAATTATGTGATTCAAATTCAATTTCCAATTCAATTATTCAAGTTTAGCAATTCAAATTCAAATATAAATGATTCAAATTCAGTTTCTGATGGCACATATTTGAGCCCATAGGTCTGGCACACCTCCTGTCATTGCAGCACTGCACAGAGATTCATGTCCCATTTCTATGTTGATGCTCCATCACTCTTTGCCTCTGTCCTACTGTCTCTCTTTCTATTTCTTCTTTGTTTAAACCAATTCGGCTTTGATGCATTTATATATAATTAACAGGTGCAGTTTACTGAGCACTGCATTCACACACATCTATGTAGGTGGTCAATACACGTTATTGTAGGTTATTTACTGACTTAGATAGTTATATAAAATAAATGTATAAAGACCAAGAACACAGACAACATGAAAAGCTAAAATCCTGCCTTACTGCTGACATTTGTGTTGACTGCTCTGTGGGTAAAAAGCTGCTAGTCTCTCAACCAGCAGCAGCAGACAGATCATACCAAGATAATAACACAGAGCACTCTGTGTCTAGAAACACGGTGCTGTTTGCTGGCCAGAAGATAATGGGTAACTCACCGGCCTGTCTGACTCCATGGTCTTCTACCAGCATAAAAACCCTCTCCACTAAGCACTGAGTTGTCTCTCTTTCTCTTTTCAAATCTGCTTTCAAATCTGCTTTGTGGGATCATTTAAGATAAAAGAAATAAGCACTTGTGGTTATGTTATGTTTCACCCTCTGGAGGACATGATAATCTTATAATATGTTGTGCCCAAAGTGCCTTTATCTTAAAATCTGGTCATCTGTGTAGGCTCCAGATTGGAGTTTGTCCTCGTGTGCTCCTCCAAATATAGCGTAATGGTTGGCCTTTAACAGCCTGCAGGTTGTGTTAGACACTAAAAGATCCTGATGCAGCACTGTTTGATACTCAGCGTGGAGCTCAGTGGGGAGGGTTTGTTAGGATTTTTCTGTTTATTTTTGGTGACAGTCTCTTTTTTTACACCAAGCTCAAAGTTGAGTGCTTCATCTCTGGACAGAAAGTGTTTTTCTTTGCTGACTGTTTCTTACAACCTGTTCTCTTGAATTTTTCACCAGGGCCCACTGTCATGCTTGTCATCCCTTCTCACTTTCACTTTCTGAATTAATCATCTACTTTTCTCATCTCGGCGAGAGGATCCCTCTGGTGTAAAACCTGCTTTTTTAACACACTGACACAGAATGGGATGGGGTCATATTGGGCCAGGGTATTTTGGGACTTTGCCCCGTCATAAAGAGGAACAACAGGCAGGCACCATCTGTAACTCAGTGATTATCTTTTTAAGCATGTTGCAGGAAACGTTCCAGCTTTATCCGGGCCTTTACATTTCTGAAAAACTCAAGGCTTAACCAAATCAGACATGTTTAAAAGCAGAGCGCCTGAGTAGACTGGAGTTCAGTGGAGCACACACTACAACTTAATCAGGTCGATTTTGGGCTGGAAGATAATCTGCCATATCATCCTGTGGTATGATATAAAGTAGATACTTTTTTCTACCCCAGTTTTCTTAAGAGACGATTGAAATGGAATATTAAATATTCAATATTCATGCCGATAGATGGCAGGCATACACGTCATACTTTGAATAAAACATTTCAGGTTTAGTTACATGAAAAAAGTGCATTCAAAGGGGGGCTGAGTCTCTCTGAAGATGTGGAGAGTTTCGCAACTCTGTGAGAGCCTGTGTGAGCAAATAGCTTAACAATCTCAGAAGGATATTATTTAGCACAAAAATGCAAATAAATTAATAAAATTGGAGATCTTTGGCAGCACAGTGGTGTAGTGGTTAGCACTGTCGCATCACAGCAAGAAGGTTCCCTGGTTCGAATCTGGGTCAGGGTGTTTCTGTGTGGGGTTTTCATCTTCTCCCTGTGTCTGCAAGGGTTTACTCTGAGCACTCCGGTTTCCTCCCACATCCCAAAACCATGCAGAGGTGGGGTTAGGTTAATTGGTCACTTTCAAATTACCCGTAGGTGTGAATGTGAGTGTGGATGGTTATTTGTCTCTATATGTCAGCCAAGTGATGACCGGGGGCCTCATTTATCAACCATGCGTATGCTCAGATGTGCGTAATGAGTGCGTATGAACATTCCCACGCAAAGTATGGAATTTATCAACCTGTACTTGTGCTTATGAACGTGCGTAAATTTAAGCACAAGTCTGACCATGTGTACACACAAAATCTAGTGGCAGAACAGTGAAAATACAAATAGGACCCATAAAAGGAGTCACAGTGTTCAGCAATCTCAAACTTGACACATGTTCTCCATTGCCTCTTTACAAAATGCATCAATTAGTTATTTAGCAGACATTTTGAATGATTGGTTTGACAAGCTATAAAAATCATCTGTGACAGGACAACCTCAAAAGAAGTCTTACAAGTACTCATACAAGAATCATGGCTTATTGGAGGACTTGGAGAACCTTATGCTCCACAGGAAGCGTGTTTTCAACGCCCGTGCTGATCTGTTCAGTAAGAACTCAGAGTGGCTTCTCAGCAGGTACCGCTTTCCAAAAAACATTTTAATGGATTTATGCCGTGATTTTCATCCCGTGTTGGAACAAGAGACAAAACGCACCAAAGTCATCCCAGTGCACATCCAGCTCCTGTCCACCCCTGGGATTTTTGGCCGCTGGATCATTTCAGCATGAGATTGGAGACATATATGGCATTTCACAGACAACGCTAAACGGAATCATGCCGGCAGAGTTGGGTGCAATAATTTCTGTTGCCTCAATTTACATCCAGTTCCCAAACACACATCACCAACAAGCAGAAATAAAACAAGGATTTCACGCCATCGCTGGATGCCCAAACGTAATTGGAGCCGTAGAGTGCACCCACATCGTAATAAAAGCACCTTTACACAATGAATTTAGTTATGTCAACAAGAAAGGATTTCATTCAATCAATGCACAAATAATCTGCGATGCACATGTTTCTGTTAAACGTTGTTGCCCGGTGGCCTGGAGGAACACACGACTCATTAATTCTGCAGAACAGCTCTGTGGGTGTGGTTTTGGTTTCGGTGAAGGGGGAAAAAATCCATTCACACATTTTCAAAGGGATTGTTGATACCATATATGGTAAATTGGAGATGTTTCTCAATGCAAATGACCCTAACCATTCACAAGCACGGTAGTGTAGAACAGGTAGGATTTATCATCACTGATTACTTACGAGTGTGCATATGACCGGTGTACGCCTGTTTGATAAATACAGGTTTTTTTGTACATATGCACACTCTAAATTTCATTCCTACACCAGAATTTAGAACCTTTTCTATGCACAGTTGATAAAAGAGGCCCCAGGAGACTTGTCAAGGGTGTCCCCTGCCTTCGTCCCAAGATGCTGGGATAGGCTCCAGCCCCCCCGCGACCCCCAACGGGAGAAGAGATAGAAAATGAATGGATTGATGAATGGATATCTTGACATCTACAGCACAAAATACCATTAAAACATCTAGAATCTGTGCTTAAGGGACAGGGCTGAGAGAAAAGACTGGTTGGCAGTGATCCTCAGACTGTAAGGTGTAACTATGAAGTTGAGTTTACCACTACATCCACAAATGCAGGAAAAGAGAAAACTATATATAAACATGATCCAGAGCCTGGGTTCACTTAAGATGGACTGAAGCAGAGTAGAAACTGTCTAGCGGTCTGATGAGTCAAAATTTGACATTCTTTTTGGATACCATGGATGCAGCGTCCTCTGCTCTTAAGAGGACAGGGGCCGCATGGTTTATTATCAGAGCATGGTTTAAAAGCATCCCTGATAGTATGACGACACCTAAGTGCTCATGATATGGATGGCTTACACATCAGGGAAGGTACCATCAATGTTGAACAACATAAATAGGTTTTAAAGCAACATATGCTGCCATACAAACAAGACCTTTATATTTCAGAGAGGCAATGCCAAACCATATGCTGCATGCTTTATAGCAGCGGGGTTTATCATGTGTCCACCTGGTTCCAGAGTCTGAGCTTGAGGTCCCAAAAAAGGACATGTGACATTATGATGGCATGTGTCACGCTCAGTGATACTGCCTTAATTTGAAGTGACAGTCTGTCGTGTTAATTATGGACCATAAAGAAAGACCGTCCATGCCTACTCAACTTAGGAGCCAAGAACAAGAGCAAGTCTAATATGCAGGCAAACAACATGTCAGAACCATTTTCTGTTTCCCACCACCAGCTCACCGTGAAAGCTGAATAAAATCAGATTTAATCTTCCATCATTTTCTAAATACTCAAAAGTGGTTCATTTATTGCCCTCGAGTCCACAGACAAAAGGTTTTATTTTTCCATCGCATTTCACCTGAGGATCAGCTAACTATCTGGTTGCTTCCCTTACAAGGAAAAGCCGTGTCCAAGCTGCAAGAATTTCAATAACTGTTTGAAAAAGATGATGAATCCATAGCTTGGATAAATGGCTTCCTAAACCAAAAAGGCTCTGAGCAAATTGTCCATAATGGCACCAGCACACGTTTTATTGTATCAAGAGAAAAGCATTTCGAGGTAAAATGATGAGGTAATGGATTTTTTGCCGGTTAATGGCACAGAAATGAAAGCTTAATCCAGATGGAATTGAAACAGAGACAGTGGTTCACAGCATGTTATATAAAAGAGAATGCTGGTTATCTAAAGACCGAAGCACCATCATCTTACCAGCGTCCTCTGGGGCCACAGCCGGCTCTTGAGACACCCTTAAAAGCCAACACACAAAGGACCAACAAAAAATTTTGACTAAGGAGAAATGATAACATAAAAATACATTTTAGCCTTATGAAGATTCTATGTGTGCCGGAGAACAGCTTATTCTAACTCAACAAGACAATGATACCTCTGAGTAGAGGATTTTCCATGCTGTATATTTATACTGTTGGAAATAATAATCCAACAGAGCCCTCAAACTGTATAATCTGGAGTCTAATGCTCACAATTAATACCACTTAAGACTTAAAAGTTAGTTTAATTAAATGCTGTCAGTCAATTTTTGTACACTTCCCTACTCATTAATTTTAATTGGGCCTAGTTTTGCTTAAGGTTTAGGCTAATTTAATAACTAATTTGCTCTAAACAGAATCTAAAGGCATCATTTGCATAAGGTTGTGATAATGGTAATGTTGCTCCCCTGTGTAGTTTGACTCAGAAGGAGCATATAAAGCTTAAAAGGAAGGGGCCCAAGAACTGATCCCTGAGGAATTCCACGTGTTTAAGCCACTCCATCAGAGTAGCAGAAATAGTTTTGATCCTTTAAGTACGACTTGATCTTATTCAAAACCTGTAAGTTCTACCCAGTTTCCCAAAATTTAATTAAACCACAGAAATTTTAAATCAGTCTTAAGGTCATAACATTTCATCAGCTAACGGCACTCTAAATCTTTTCAAAGTTTTAATAGGATGTCTATCAAGTTGAGCCTCCTTTTACCCTGAACTGGTTTTTGAGATTGATTAAAATCCAATCTCTGATACTAACAAAAAAGGAAGACATTCTTTCATTACATTGAATCAGACTGAATTGAATCTTTTCATTGGTTTGATTTCAGTCTGCTGTTTGGCAGCGCTGTGTGGGCGTAAAACTAAAAAAGTTCAGCTGTGACACTAATGCTCCCTGAGTCACCAGGTATCTAGTAAGGTTTTCAATTTGACTTTGACTTTGACTTTTGATCAAACCAGATGAATAATGACAATGGATATTTTTTTAACTTGAATAGATTTTTCTTCCTTTTTCTCAGAGGATGACGTGAGGAAGCAGATTTGTCTTAAAAGAACCTTTCAAATAAAACGCAAATGAAGGTCTTTGAAACACTGGAGGACTGTGACAAACTTTTAAAAGAACAGAGACAGACAGCCTCCCACATCTGAGGATATCTTAGTCACTCAATAAATAATCCTGCAAGGACATAGTATTTTGCAGCCAAGACAAAATTTTAGGACCATACAAGACCAAGGGATCTGAAATTGCATCAAAGCCAAATCACACTTTCCGATATGTCCAAATGATTATTCCAAAACGCAACTTTACTTTTACAGGCACTGTCACATGCGGCTGGAGCCTGCATGCATGTGTTGCATGTGACAGTAGTGCAAAAAAAAACCAATAGATTTTTAAAGGGAAAGAGCTGACAAATTATAAATTAAAGTGGACACACATCTAAAGTAGTTCTTTATGTTTAGAGCCAACCCCTTCTTAAAGGGATATTCTGGTGTAAAATTAAGTTAGGGTCAAACACACCATAAAATAGAGTTAGACACCCCATCGAGAGATGAATGTTGCCGACTGCTCGCTTCTCTAGTCATACCAACTTTAGTAACGACCGCACAATAGCAATACACAGCAGTCTACATCTCCACATGCAAACCTCAACCAAAAAGCCACTCTATAGTCACAAATAAAGCTCAGAACAGCACCTAACTTCATCAACAGTACATATACGTAGGGTTCTAGCTATAGCGCTAGCCATCAAACAACTTTTAAACCTTGCTTGGTTTCTATAGCAAAGAGACCAAACACAACTCACCCACTCTCTTCCAGCAACCGCTTGTTTGTGAGGGGAACCCTGACAAGTCGATCACCCAGTGCAGCAGAGTTTCGCAGCTCAAGGAAGAACATTTATGATTATTACTTCAGGGAAATGCAAACAGCCTAAGACACTAATGCAGAAGAACTACCCCGTCTGCAGTGCAAAATGATTATTATGATGCCTAGTACTTCAAGGATATGATCCGCTGCACTCGGGTGATCAAGTCATCAGGGCTTTCCCACAAACAAGCGGTTGCTGGAGGAGAGTGCGTGAGTTGTGTTTGGTCTCTTTGCCAAAGAAACCAGGCAAAGGTAAAAAGATGTTTGGTGGCTAGTACTATGGCGCGGACCCTATATGTACTGTTGATGAAGTTAGGTGCTGTTCTGAGCATTATTTGTGGCTATAGAGTGGCTTTTTGGTTGAGGTTTGCATGTGGAGCCGTAGACCACTGTGTATTGCTATCCTGCGGTCATTACTATGGTTGGTATTACTAGAAAAGCAAGCAGTCGGCAACATTCATCTCTCAGGGGGGTGTCTAACTCGGTGTTACGGTGTGTTTGACCCTAACTTAATTTTACACCGGAATATTGCTTAAGTTGTTGATGGCCGAGCCTGCCCAGATCCTTTTTGGCTAATACAGACTATTTGAAGTGATTCATTTAACCCTACTTTAAAATGATTTGACTTTCCGTTTTAATAAACTTTACTTTGGCTCTTCTTTTACAGAGTCCAAATCGAACCTAGAAAAGCTGCCCAGAATATTGGAAAGTTTTTCTAGGACAACAGTCTTATCAGTCTTGCAAAAACGGCAGGATGGAAGTAGCATCACAACAGCAGCTAAAGAAACTATAGCTAATGCTATTTTGGCTAAAAAAGGAGACAAAAAGGCACCAGCTTCCACCCTCAGACATCTCCTGTAAGGACATAACCTCCAAGTTGTTTCAGGACTACAAAGCTGTGTAAAAAGTAACACCCCTAAGCTGTATCTACCTTTATATCACTGCAGCCAAAGTGACACATAACAGGCAGAGGCTAAAAAGTGCTGAAATAAGGACGTTGACAGATGCCAGTAAAGGATGATTAACGCTAATCATGTAAAGCTACTCTATGGGTGTACCAGATTGACAGGATGAAAGGTGAAAATGAAGAATAGGACTCCATTAACTCGTCTTATTGGGTGGTTTGAGGGTGATGTGTTTGAGTTGTAGATATTTGGTTAATGAAAATGTGATTGTGGCCAAATCTGATAAGTATTTGCTGCTTTACATAAGTTTTTGTTAATATACAGTATATTACAATCATGGCTTTGGGTTGTTTTTCAGAGTACAAGTTGTACAATAGTAAGTTTCAGTAAGAGAAGAAATAAGCTCTAAGCTGAAGAGGAGGAGGATGAAGATATACTAGACAGTACATTTGTTTGTTTTGCTATTTCGACATATAACAGCAGGCAGCGTCTGAGTGGAGGAGGCATGCTGTTTGTCATCACTCCCCCCTCACCTCTCAAGCCTTGTCTGGGTTCACTGGATAAGATGAATAGTTTATCTGCTCATCCAGCCGGGCTCAAGTTTATGACAATGTGCTCCCACGCAGTCACAATAATGAACAGTCTAAACAGGGGGGAAAAGGGGACTCGTGTCCCACTCGAGGACTTCTGACAAAGTGTCAGATGAAGAAAGAGGGGTTTTCACAGGTGAGCACACAAACTGTAAAAACATCTGCTTCCTGGCGGTTCATGCAGATCGCTCATCCCCACTCAGTCGTATTGAAATTTGACATTTACCTGAACACATCACAGAGTTATGTAACGTTTCTCCGGGGCAGTGCTGCTCTAGTCTGATTAACTGTGTCATTTTTCATGGAAATCCAGTTTTTGGATAATTATCAGCTTAATGCCACAGGAGGTGGTTTGTACAAGTTGAATTTGAGTAATAGAGGTGAGGGGATGACATCAGGGTATAAAATTAAGAGTCAAACTAGAGGCAAACACAGACAGCCCTTTTTTGTAGCATTTGACTGGAGTACTTACTTTTGGCTGCTTTTCCTGGCATACAAACACAGCTACCAGAATAAATTTCTAAGTTACTAGACACCCTAAAATGCACCAGAAAGGATCAAGCTGACCTTCAAATTGTCATTAAAGTTTCCAGATTTATCAGATCTTGTGTGTTGTTTAGTCTAGTGTATATGTTGATCCTGATATTTGGGCGTATCTCCCTCCAGAAGAATTGGAGAGTAACCAGCTCACATCCGTGCTGCTCTATTTCCACTGTTTTACTGTCATCAGAGGATTGATTTTTTAAAAGATGGTTTTTGACCTTTTCAGGCTTTAAATGGATCAACACTGCCTTACTCAGCTGAACTTCTCCAGTGTTCACACTCCAGGTCAACCAATCAACTGCTTCTAAAGCAATCAAGCCTCAGCAGGAGCTGCACCTGATCTGTGCAAGAGCTTATTGCTTCAATGAAGAGCGACTCTGACTCATGAAGCATCAGATCATTCATGAAGACCCATCTTTACTCTTTCACCTTTCTTTTAACGTAAAACGGGTTTTACTATTTCAGTGTAATGTGGTGTGTATTTTTGTTTCTGCATTTTGGTCCTGCTCACCCTGTCAGGTTGTGAATCCCCTACAACAACCTGCTCACTCTACATTACGTTTTATGTAGCAGTCTGTAGATATTGGACAGAGCTGCACAGATGCTTCAGTTTTGCTTCTTCTCTGGATTATCTTTTTGCTTTTGTGGCACGTTTGTGGTTCTTTGTTGTGCTCTTTGCCTTCATAGATCATTCATTACAGGTTGTCTTTAACACTCATTATGCGAGATACAAGGTTCGCCTTGTACCCAGCTTTGATAACAGGGAAAGATAATCATCCTTGGCCATGTAAAGTCTGAGAGGCACCAAGAATCATGCTGCTGATTGACTGCCTGATGAAAATTTAATTTCGCATTAGTTTACAAGCATTTTGGCATCGTGACTTTTTCGTTCAAAACATACATGCAGAAACATTACCGACAAGAATAGGCTACCTCCTCCATCAGCAGAAAAAGAGAAATGTCCCAGACTCCAAAAGAGAACAAAAGAACTACATGTTACCGCTTGTAAATCTCAGTGATGGAAGAAAACCTGCAAAACAAGTTTTCACTCAATTATGACAGAAATGAGTCAGATAATGTGTGAGAGGACAGTGCATCTTCTTTTATGATGGTCATAATGTACAAGGCGCTTTAATGAAGGCTAATTAGCTGCCTGCTGCTTTGTTCTGTCTCTACATAATAAGATGATTTTAGGTTGATGTCACTGTATTTAATGGAGCAGCAGGTTTTGTGTTGCAGGTTTTTAAAGGTGACAGAGGCGCAGAGCTGAGGAGGAAGATGAAGCAAACAAAGCTGCTCTCAGGACACCGGCTGAATCATTGTGACTGAACAATGTTTCTAACTCTCTTTATCTCACTATCTGCTGCCGCTCCTAATATAAAGTTAGATTAACCCAGTTTCTTCTTGCTGACTTTATACAAACTATTTTAAAAGTTAGAGTGAGTTTCTATTAAGTGTCTGAGCAAGTTTGGAAAGTCAAGACCGCCAGTCAACTTTTTTTTTTTGTTCTTTAATCTCTGTGCTTTTGTGTCTGTGCTGAGTCACTGAACAAGGTGGTGCTGGAACAACACAATCTAACTCACTGACAGGTCTCAGAGCAGCCCAGCACAGGGGTTTGTCCTGTACAAAAACAAAGGGAACTTTTTTTTAAGTGTTATCAATGGTTTTTAAATTGGGATTATGTCATTTTTAGCCCAAATCACATTACTTGTGTCATTTTTGAGAGCTTTTTTTCTGCAGAGCTCCAGTAGCTCATTAGCAATTCACCTCGGAGTCGTGGGATGAGTCAGCGCTGCTCTGCGCACTCCTGTTCACGCTAGCTTACAGCCTAACATTGCCGGTGTAGTAGAAGGGGCAGGTAACACAGAAGATATTCAGCTTTTGGACACTAATGTCTTTGGGGGCATGATGAAAGTTAATATCATAATTAGCTTTTTTTGTGAGCATTGCAATCCGCTAACGTACACGCTCGTTCTGCAGTTGTCCTCTCTACTTTTCCCGAGTTTGGCCTGCATAGCGGGGCTCCGGGGGCAGAGATTGGATTTGTGACATAAGAAATTTCACTGTATCTGAGCCTGCTGTTTCTCGCCAATATGCGACTAAGTTTGGGGTCGTTCTGAACGCAGAAAAGCTGACAATACGTCATGACCATGTTACAATAACAAAAAACAAGTACTCGCCAGTGAGAAGTGTGTCATCAAGTGTGCCAGTTAGCCTTGTTTTGAGGTGTTTTTTCTCTATGAAGACAATAGGAAAATGCCAAAGTCATTAGCCAAGAGCAAATAGTCTCGGCGCATCAGCTTCCATGGGCGCGGTGCTACCGTGTCTGGATCCAGCATGTCATTGTGCCGCCTGTGCCGGTACTGGTGAGCGAGACTGAGCTGGAATTCAGCAACGGTCCCAATGAGGAGGACGCAAACAGTCCGTATGGCTTACATCGCGGCGTCAGGTTCTCGAGAGCCTATACAACTTACAAAGTGACCTATCACAATCAGATCTCGAGGAGGGAGGACCTTGATGCCACGGGTAAAGCAGTTTGAAGTGAAATGAAATAGACAATCAGAGTTCTGACGATCCAAGTCCCTCCTTCGGAAAAATTTGTTTTTTCAAGGTTTCCTTTTCCAGATCGGATGACCACCAGATGACCACGCTGCATTGAGCAGGCAATATCTGAACACAGGAGTGGGTTAGAGACTAACTTTTTTTTCTGGT